AAGAAAACTGTAAGTAATGACTTTGATAACATTTGAACATTCAATTTTGCCATTTTTATGCATAATTTTTTTAAATTTATTTTTTAACTTGTAAAAATTCTGTTTTCTTAATGCATTTAATAAAATCAGCTTTTTTTATCAGCCTCAGAGTCTCCAAAGCGGGGGGGATGTCGCCGAGCGCCGCAATCTCGCGCATCGACGTGCATCGTCCCTCCTTCTGGAAGTTTTAATAAATTCTATTGGTTAAAAATCGTAAAAGTTTCATATAAAAGTTAAATATACTTTAAATATGGGACATTTCCGATTTACAGTCAGTCGTGGTTTTACTCTTACGGAGTAGCCGCAGGGCTCCTCATTGGAGGACTCTGCAAAAAGTTTAAAAAGACTCTGAAGCTGAGTTTTTTTCTACTTAGAAATGGTTGTTTTATTCCTCACAATAAATAACCCTTAGGCATTTGTCTTTTTCAAGACAATGCCACTTTAAAACGTCCAGCGGATAAGTATAATTTTATAAATACTTATCCCGCTCCGACGATAGACGTGTCGGTATCGGGAAAAAGCCTCGTGCCTTGGGGGCGTGAGGCCAGGCTCCGTACACGCTCTGTCCGTCGCTTGTGACCTAAGGGCATAAGGATCGCGGTCGGTGGCCATAGTGATGCACTATGGACGCTCGGTAGCTAAGGAACAAGTCTGCCTGAATAAGATGCAAATAAATGTTTGTCTATTGCAAAAATATATATAAGAAGGAATACAGATAAATACAATAACAGCGATATGTTAATACTAAGAATCTGAAAAGGAAATATAATTATCCGCAGGCCTTAAGTCTGGGAGATAATTATATAATTAGTTTAAATCTAAGAATCTGTGAAGGAGAAATATTAGATTAAACCTGAAACACAAATTTATAAGCAATTTTGAAATTAGTATACATATAAAATTCCTAGTTGTCAAAATTGAAATGTTATTTATAGCATGCACACAGGGCCGTAACCTGTGGGAACCTATGTAGGATAATATAATTCGAAGTAATCAGCAATAAAAGTTAGGTGTATGTACACTGCAGAAAAAGTTATGGCCCAAAAACCACAATGTTTACAGTGGAAATTTCCTAAGTCGCTGAGACCTGTAAAACCTGTAAAAATTGGCGGGAAACAATAAGTTATTTACCAAATATCTCAGATATTCCTAAACGAGTAAAATAACATATATTTATTCCTGAAAGAGAGTACAATAAGGGATAGACCTAAATACAGGATAACACAACCCGCAAGAATACCAATGCTAAAAGATTGAAATATTCTGCAAAGTTATAACAGTGTAATTACCTATGTAAAGCTCTCATATAAAAATCAGAAATACTTCACCTATTTCTTGCAGTGTACCTGAAAAGGAACTTATATTGTGATTTACCAATAGGATAAAATTGGGAATTAAAAAAAACACAAGTATTTGTCTTTATTGTATCACTTGTTTAAAGGATACAAGCACGTTCGTTTCTAAGGCCTTTTCAGTAAGGAACTTAGAAGAAATCACCTGTAAGAGAGAATTTCTTACACGACTTGTAAGTGTTATAATAATCAGATCCTATGCAAGGCATAGGAACACAGATTATATAACTAAGTATTACGACGCCCTTAGGAATTATCAGCAAATTCGAGACTGTCGAATTGCAGAGATAATTCCCCAGAAAGGCCGTAAGGTTCTCGCTCGAGAAACCGACAGAGGTCCCACTGGAACTCTGCCAAAGGTTAAAGGTGGTTCAAGAAGAACAGTCAGAAGTTGGTTTTGAGGCTCTAGGAACTAAATCGACCAGAGGATCTCTACTTGCCTAGAAGGCTGGACTGGCGGACATTTCCTGACCCAGTCTCGCGATTGGGATTTCGTGCATTTCCTTTATAGGGAAAAAATGAGGTCAACTTCCAACGGTCATTAACGGTCGTTCCTGATCGTTGGTTATTGGCCAGCACGAAAGACCAAATACTCAATTCGAGTATTATCATTGGACACAAGTCTGTTGTATTCTACCAACGATAATACAGAAATTGAGCAGCAGATCTCAGAATTAGGATTGGTCGCAATTATTTTTGCTTTCCACCAATCACAAAATTCCGGGATCGGCGTCAGACGTGTCGGTAATTAGGTTGTCCAGGATTTCCCTCGGGAGAGGGGACCTCTGGAGAAGCCGAATTATCCGCTCTATCCATGTTCCTATATGACCTTAGGGAGTAAATACGGTCAGTGGCCATAGACCACTATTATAAGGAAGCAAAGGATTAAAGTATATTAAACAAAGTTTTATTGTTATTAATAATATGATATTAATCAAATAAATGGTAATAGATATCTTAAGACTAAGAATCTGAAAGGGAAAAGTGCGTAATTGCCTTTAGGTCACTGCTCTAGAGGACAATTACGCATTAGTCTAATACTAAGAATCTGTAAGAGACTTTGATTAATAAATATTTACAAGTCACAAATGTTTATGTAAAATGTGAAATTAGTAAACATAGGAAAATTATCAATTATCATAAGAATAAAGGAATATTTCTAAGTGTCGTAGAGACCTAATTCCTTCGGGAACCTGTAAGGAATGGTTTAATTCGGAATAAACAGCAATAAAATTATAACAAAACTACGCTGTAAAAATAGTTATAAAATAAACAAGTATTATTTATGGAAAAATTTCCTAAGTCGAAAAATAGAAATAAAATGGTTAAATTAAATTAACACATAAGTTATTTCCTGTAAATAAATAAATAATAATGCAATTGTTTATAAGGCAAATAAGGCAATAATGAAATAACAGTGTAGTTTTAAATATTTTAAATATTACGAATTAAAAATCCCTGAAAGAGAACAAACAAGGTTCACCGTCCTGTAAGAGGTAGAAAATCGATATTATACAAGTACAACTAGCAAAACAAGTTTGACAAGGTCAAGTGCTGAAAGAGAAAAAAATCAATAATGTTATATTTAAGATTTCTTCACAAATACCTGTAAGACATATATAAAACAATAAAACAATGAAAATACATACAATATCAAATTATCATGAAATATATAACAGTGTATAATCGCATGTAAAATTCACATAAAGAAAACCAAAATTTCTTACCTACTTATTGCAGTGTATTCGCTGAAAGAGAAATACATTCAAAATAAGGGTAAAGAAATAAAACACAAGGGTTTTCTTTATTATGCGGTCTCCCTTAGAGGATATCCGCGAAATAAGCGTCTAAGCCCTTTGAACAAAGGACAGCGGAATTCTCTTACACGACTTGTAAGTTTTCCCGCGTTAATCTTAAATCTTGATAAAGACAAAGAAAACGCGGCTGCAATTACGTATTTTATCAGAATTCGCCTAAGGCGAAAGCACAGATATAGTAGCGGTAATATATATAATAGAATACTTCAAATGAACGATTTGGATATTTTGATAGTTCTGCTTTAATATATAGCGCAGCGGCTGAGACATTACAGTGACCATCCCTCTTACAGCATGCTTGCATTGAGTGATGTAGAATAGCTTTTGTAATTACTGTTGCTATTTTTATCTTTATTGTTACTAAAAGAACTTTATAAAAACAGAATTTTGTGAATTGTCCCTTCTCTACAACATAAATAGAGAGCCAGACGACGTTGGAACTGGTCAAGTTTGTGGACTTGGATTAAACAATTCTTCGTCGAAAGCAAGTTATAAGTTGAACTGGTAATGAAAATGGTCGTGTAAATTAAAATCACTTCATTTTCTTATTGCACTTGTTACAAAAATACTACGTATTTATCTTAACTTTACTTTTTGTTCTGCTGTTTCACGAAGAGACGCTTAATTATTTCGCGTGAATTTGACTGGCGATTACGAAATGCGATGGGTATGGTTATAGGGTCGTGATATTTGTTCGTTACTTGAATCGAAACTGTTCTGTCGAAATGTTACTCTAGTCCACTATTTATAGGAGAAAATATCCCAGCTTGGGACCTAACGACCTTTCTGCAACGTACCAACGATTTTTAACGTCGAAAACGAACTTTTCTTCGTGCTATATAGTGGCGTTTAAGCTAGTTTTTTCGATATATTTGCAAGCAAAAAATACATAAAAAGCAATAAACTGAAGATTTATTGCCTATTTACAAGTTCCGAAACTAAATACACCTTACTGGTCTCACTTTGTGGACACATTAAACGTGTTGTTTTTATAATAAATTATCGAAGAAATATGATACTTATCTGGGTTAGCAAAACAATCTTTTGAACAGGTAGCTCAACTGAAAAATGGAATTAAACGTTTTGTGGTCGTTAAATACTGGTTTTTATATTGCCGATGAGGAGGTTTGGAGCTAACAAGATAACGAGAAGTATTCTTCTTTATTGATTGTAATGAAAAGAATAAAGAATTATTAAGGATAATATGTTAAGACTTTAACACACAAGTTAAATCTAAAATTAACGTAAGTAAACAGTTCA